AGGTGAATTCGAGACCGTACCATTCTATGGTCACTGCATCGTACCTTGCCAACCACTTCCACATCCTGCACGATTCCTGGGTGTGCAGTCATTATAATATCTATTTCGTTCTTATTTTCACCATTAGGGCTCCTCCATGTCCACTTGCGGTTTTCTCGTTTTCGGTACAAGGTATTCAAAATCCGCAAATTATTGCGTTCTGCGAATTCTACTAGTAGCTCTCCTCTGGCGTTTCTAGTGCCGATGCCATAATCTCCTACTGCCTGGTCTCCAGCCTGCTTCTTCCCTACCTTTGCATAAAGTCGCCCATCACTATAGTATACTGTGTTTTTACCTTACTCATTGCCGATTCCACGTCTTCATAGAAGCTTTCAACTGAAGCGCCATCATGGCTGGATGTATGCGCGTAAGCCTGTACTACCTTCATCTTGTATCTTTTATTCAGTTTAATTACAATACCTACCACCCTTTCATTAATGCTATAATATTCCTATATGTTGCCAGCTATGTTTCTGTGAATTAGGAACCCCACTCCCAGTTCTCATCTGTCTGCCAAGCCCCGATAGCAAAAGACGAGCCAATTCTGTAGCACCGTATAGGCCTCATCTGTCCTCCTAACCTCACTGAGCCCTATTATATCCCATTTAACACCCTCTAGCTCCTCGAATAGTACAGCTAGACTTCCCTCACTAGATAAGGTTCTAGCGTTAAACGTTGCCAAGTTCAGGTTCCAATGGCGGCCTGTAGTCCAGAGATTCTTAGCACCCTCTGCTGCGTTGCAGATCTGACGGCCGCCGTAGTCTGTTGCTTCGCAGCTGCTGAGGACTGAGGGCCGTGAGTTATTTGGCGTATGAATGTGGGAGGTAGTGGCTAGATACTGCACCAGGGTGGCCAATCCTTCTCTGGTGAGGGAGTGCGTTCCCGGCGGTGGTTACCGGTGAGGCCGCACCTCAGGCCTCTTAATGCAGTTCCATCAACACGCGGTTTTTTTTTTCCCGGTTGGGAACTGCGCGGCACCGGGCACGTGGTCCGACGGTTGTTGTTTTCACAGATTCACACTCTTTTCCGCTCCTAAAATTTGAAATTTTCGTTTGCAATAGCAGTATTTGTAGCAGTTGAACGCCTTGTATCTTCACGAACAAATAGACACCACTCTGACCCTCCTTGGATCAAAATTGCTAAATTTATAGGTGGATATGTGCAGAGCTCACTTACCCGTGCTGCTGACGCGGCCGCGTTCGCTCCCGCAGTTGAAATAATCTGTGCTTATTGGCTAACAGGTGGAGGAGCAGTTCCGGTGGGCTTATTTCGCTGTGGAAGCTGTTTCGCCAAACCCAGCTCAAGCAGTGACAGCAGTCCGGCAACACTGAGTGTGTCTTTTGAATAAGTCTCTTTTGACGCTCTCAGTTGAATTGGGCGCTCGCGGTTTTTTCTACGGCTATCTCCGAATTTTAACGACTCAATTGAGACCTGATTTGTCGTCCTGGGGTGTGTAAAAGCCGAGATATGACTCGTCCTCAAAGTGGCTTGGTCCCACACAAGATGGCGGCCCCCATGTGGTCATAAGGTGGAAACAATTGCTTGTGGGTTTGTTATCACCGGTCAGAAACTGGTAAGATTGAGCTCAGAGCCCGAAATCCTCTTTCTGCGTGATTTAATAATGTTACCAATATTTGTTGTGATCTTTTGCCTTTTCATTCAATCTTTGAGCTCGAGGGGGCAGGTGCTAAAGTCCCCTGTCAACATGGCAGCCCCCATAGGGCGGATACACGTGTTACCCACAGTTATTTTCGGTGAAGAAAAACCGTTTTTTCCGGCAGATTCAAGATAAGATGGTAGCGGCGAGGCTCCGGAACGTCCCAAGAAGAATCGAGGGTGGTTTTAGAGGTGCGTAGTAGCTTTTTCTTGCGGAATTCCTGATTTGATCGAAGTGGAGCCAGTGGCTGCTGTTTTTAGGCCTAACCGAAGTATGAGTCGTTAATTTCTCAAGTTGTAACTGATTTGGTTGGCTAAACCGTGCTTTCGAAGTGCTCCGAAGCCTCATAAAACCATGGGAGGAAATTTAGACTATTACTCACAGTTTTGACGGAGATTTTGAGGTCCGAAGGCTGAGCTGTTGTGGAACCGCTCAAGCAACCCGGGCCCCTGGTGGAGGACCAGGTTGCTAATGGCAACCCGGTCCTCCACCGGAGGACCTAATGGCAAGGTGTAGTTAATAGTCATCCAGAACAGCCGCATACTGATCACGCGGCTTGTTGTTCCTCTTTCTCAGCCTAAAATATGAAAATATTTGAGTGGGCATGGAATCAAAACCAAAATGTGACTGCTAACGCTTCTTATTTGTCGTTCCGCAGCTTCTTAGTTTTGTTGGATTTGCCGGCTGCACAAACGGCACCGCATCCATGTACTCGACAGATGATGGTTTCGACAAGAGACCCTCGATGTGAATATTGGTGTCTGTTATAGTCCTCCGAGTGTCGCTAGTTGTTTTTATGAGGCAATTTATGATTGGCTGAGTGAAATTAGAGCCACGTTAGTTGCAGTTCGTATCATTCCTACTGGTGACTTCGATTTCCCGTACATTCACTGGTCAGAACCATACCTGTTCACAGATTCATCATCCGGTGAAGCTAACAGATTTAATATTGCATGCTTGGACTGCAATCTGACTCAAATTGTAACTTGTACAACACGTGTAACCTCCACCAAAGCGTCACTGTTTGTCTTGATAATAGCATTAGTTCATGATATCGCTTGTTTTTAACACGCACATGGCTTTAGTGATCATGAAGTACTTCACTTTACCATTATCATTTCTCCACCTACCCCGACGTGGTGGTCTAGTGGCTAAGGTACTCGGCTGCAGACCCACAGGTCGCGGGATCGAATTCCGGCTGCGGCGGCTGCATTTACGATGGAGGCGGAAATGTTGTAAGCCCTTGTGCTCAGATTTGGGTGCACGTTAAAGAACCCCAGGTGGTTGAAATTTCAGGAGTCATCCACTACGGCGTCTCTGATAATAATACGGTGGTTTTGGGACGTTAAACTCCACATATCAATCAATCATCATTTCTTCACCTAACAAAGGTGACATTTGAAAGAAATAAGTGACAGAAAAACGCTAATATGTCGTCACCATTTTAAGCAGCTTGCTCTACTCCAGTTATACGAGATGTAACAAGGCTGTACAATGATTCCACACTACGCCTTAAAACGAAATGGTATACATGGCAATGTAGTCTACGTGCCTAGCGAGTCCGTGTTGCAGACTTGTCTATTAATAAAAAGAAGCCAGATCGGCTCGCAACTGCTAAGTAAAGGTAATAAACAGAAATAGGAGGGGGGGAGATGGGGCTGCCCTGTTCTTCCCCGCACTACTCACTTACCATCGGTTCAGAAAGTTTGTGGGGTGCGCACTATATTCCGAAAATTTTTTGGCAGTAAGCTTCAACAACATTTCAATGATTAAATACGCAGCACATATGTCAGCTCTTTGTATTGGCATAGTTGGAGATTTGAAAGTATATGACGCAGCCACGGACTACTCACATGCACTAGGTTTGTGGCTTTATGAAACAATATGAGGGCTACCATAAATTCAGAAATGCAGTGGGCTCAAGCCAAGCCGATATACGATGCCGTGGCCCCTACCACCTGGTTTATGAGGTTCAAGGTGTCCAGGTGACCGGGTACAAATATCTCGTTAAAGTACGACACTCCTGCTGGTGGGACTGCGGGCCTCTTTCGCAAGTGAACTTGTAAGATACTGGATTAGCTGTATGGATGAATGCGCAGGAATGTCCCATTCTATTTGTTTTTGTTCTCGACATTGAGTTCTTAATAGAGCAACGTGATGCGACTTAATATGTCATTAAATTATACAGGAATTTACTTGTCATGTGAGAGTTGTGAAGTAGCATGGCTATGATTGGAAGTGTAACCCATTTAATATTGGAAATCTGTCATAGATATTGAATGGTCTTACTAATATCTGCTGTAGACATGACAGTTCACTTACGAATAATTTCCACAATGAAAGGCTAAGAGTACCTAACTGTTCTTTTCCTCAGATGCTGTTTAGAGTGGAACAAAAATCAGCGCCACAAAATAAGGAAAAATAGTTTTTTATATTTAACAGCAGGGTACTAGTCCATAGGGTCTGCTAAATTGTGGATACTACTGGTGGTCAGTGCTGCCCATTGGGGTAATTTTAGCTAGTGGGTACCGTTAACTGGCGGCAGTGGTGGTCATATTCTGTCGAGTTTATAAGCAAATAATCCCAAAGGAAGCCCGAAAAAGTGACGCCACTGTTGTGAAGAAGCCCAAACAAAAAGTACCTAATTCTTGCTCTCAGTTAACAAAACCTGCCTAGGGGCCATGAATAAACATATAACAAAACGGCAGGCACCGCCAGTTTGCTGTGGAAACTTCAATATAAGACATGCGGCCGACCGTGCTGGGTCGCATTCTGAATTTCATGCGTTGTCACTTCTTTTACAGCTGCATTACACAGAAGATATCTTCGGCGAAACGCATACAAAATGCATGCCATTTCACAAAACTGTTCGGAAGAATTATTTGAACATTCACGCGTGAAGGTAATGCACAGTACTGATGCTAATTTTAACCGAAAGAAAAACAACCACATTAACAAACTCGGGACAAATAAGTAGTGGCAAGCGATTTTATTTATAACTTAAAATTAAATATATAAATTAGCAGTCACTTTTGAAGCGAATAAGCACACAAGTATCGATAGATAAAACACGATTCGCGAAAGGAACAAGGTAGAAGTGAGCACCAAGTACGAATATAAGAAGTTCGGTGAATCCGCGAAGTGCTAATTATTGTGCACCATAACCAGTGCAAGAAGCCGCTTATACGTATCAGTTGCAGAACACGCGCGCAAAGTTTCACTCGTCCGTCACTCTTTTCACCGTCTCAGGCAGTGTCCACGCCGCTAGCGGATGAAGCTGGCGAGCGAATAGCTACGGCTGGAGCTATTCCTTGTCCTTATCGTCTTCCTGCTCGCCAGAGCCGGCTCCACCCATCTTGCGGGGGCGACCGTGCTCCCATCTGGCGAGAGCCGCGTACACGTGGTCCATGGTGGTGGCACAGATGAGAAGTTCGAGGACGTTGTACTTGAGCTTAATCGCCTCGGCTTGCGCGAACAGGTCGCTCCAGAGGAGACCCGTGTCGGCCATGTGGTACTCCAGGAAGCCCTGCGACGCCGTTTAGAAAATAAAACCACACGGAAGAAACTCTCCGAAAGAACATTAATCCGAAGGCGGCCTATGGAATATATCATTCCAGTTTTGCACATATACCAATCGTACAGCTCAGTCAGCGGGACGGTGACAGAGTTGGCATCTCTTCAGTAAATTGGGTGGCCCTAACACGTCACTTTTGAGGCTATTCCTGTATCTTCTGAGGGCAGCACTACTAACGCGACCTTATTGTTGACCAAGCTCTAAAACAAAGTCGCTACAAATGAAACCACACCTTGTCACCTGGACGTTCTGGGCAGGCTGATACAGAGCACATAAGCGATGCTGGTGTCACGTTAATTTGTCGTTGATTACTCTAAAATATCTCCATTGACCAGCAACTCATTAAAAATATCCACTGATTAACTGATATGTGCGGTTTAACGTCCCAAAACCACCATATGAATATGAGAGACGCTGTAGTGGAGTGCTCTGGAAATTTTGTCCACCTGGTGTTCTTTAACATGCTCCCAAATCTCACCACACGGCCCCACAGCATTTTCGCTTCCATCGAAAATTCAGTCGCCGTAGCCAGTATTCGATCCCGTGACCTGCGGGTCAGCAGCCGAGTACCTTAGCCACTACACCACCACAGCGGGCAACAGATATATGAACCGAGTGATAGTGAAAACTTACGATTAGGTTAGGTTAGGTGCCGAACTGTCGAAAGTTTTAACTAAAGAAGACTTATTTGAAAAATCGAACACCAGCATCACTAGTTCGTCACCCTTTCGAGTATCATAATTCTTAATTTACCTTTTTTCAATTCCCTATTTGACTTGGCCGATTATGCCGGTAACGTTGAAGGCGCATGTTTCGCGTTTAATATGCTTCGAATATGGGAATTACTGGATCCATGTTGTAAATCTCTATTATTCACACACCCTAAAAAAGCACGCGTACGAAGACGGACGGTACAGATATATCACTTCGCACACTTTCGTTTTGCCAATGAAAGCGACATTGGAACGCACCTCGAACTGCTGCTGTAGCTTGCTGTTGAGGAAAGTTTCGGTGATGGCCCGCATGAGTTTCTTCAGGTACTCGATGTCCTCCTTGTACTCGTCGTGGGTCTTCACCATTATCGTGAAGCCTTGCGCGAACTTGCCCTTCAGATGCGACAGCGCACCCATGCACTGGAACTTGCCGTCGATCATGATGGCCAATCGGTCACATACGACCTCCACTTCCTCCATGCTGCGCAAGGTGGGGTAAAGACACGTGCTTTTGTAAGTACAAAGACTGACACGCCTCATCAAATGCAAAATTGGACCGTAACAGCGCTAACACGAGCGATGAAAGATATCGCCTTGTGACTTTACCATATAACTTACGATGACGCCACAGATCACAAATAGTGGCGACATCATTACGGTTTGTTAAACGCGGGAAAAAAGACGTTGCCCTAGTTAGGCAACAGGTATGTTTGTTTCCTTTCGCCTCATCATGATGGCATGTAACATTGTAGGTGTAGGGATTACAGAGAAACATTTATACTATTATTGTTACTATTACTATAATGGCCTAAGGACGTCATTCAGTTATATTGTAGCTCGGTGCAAGGTAGACAGATCAAACGCAGGCTGAGCAAAGATAGCTGACGTGCAGAAAGCGCGGTATGCCTTCGATCCTGGAGGCACTAGAGAACCACGTTATTATTAGGAATGGGGACTGGGTGAGAGTGAATATATCCGCTCTGAAAAAGCGCTCATGTTGCGTACTACGTATAGTAATCTAGACTATACAATGGTGTGCCTCAGAAAGAGCTCCTACGTTTGGCATGTTGTAACGCAAATTTAAGTAAACGCAAGTGACAAAATCTCTGTTTTGCCTGTTGGCAAGAATACTACAGTAGACGCTGATCTCCAACATTTAGAAAGGTGAATACTCTGATAACAATAACAATACGATTACGTTTAGAAGAAGGTGCCTGTATCCATTGGCGTATGTTTGCAGAATGCGAAGTATAGAAATACCTCTTCATTGCTGGGCTACATGCGCCTTGCTTTAGCGTAACACTACTGGGAGGGAGAAACGGATCAATCCATTGGCACAAAAGTGAGCAGTGCTGTTCAAAACTTGAAGTAGAAAGCGAAGTGTTAGCCACTGAAGTAGAGAAATGAAGAACATCTAGCAGGAGTAGCTATAAGACGATTACGACGAACAGCTGAGACAGTGCGGGACTGTGAATGACGCCCTTGAAGTTAGGCAGTTGCTTTGTGTCAATAAACGCCATTACAATTTGATGGAAGTGCTTGGTATTGGTACCAGTACCTCTCGCTATTAAGCCAATTCATACTGTTTTTTAACTAAACCCCACTGTACCACCAATAAAGACGTAAAGCAATGGCCACTCACCTTCCAGTAGTTATGATCACTGATGTGCCGGCCACATCCCGAAGTCCACGCAGTGCGTCCCACAAAGTCTTGCGTGAGGCCATATCCACCCCAACCGTAGGCTCATCCAGGAGCACCAGGGGCGGCAGTCCAACCAGCGCAACGGCCACAGACAGACGTCGCCGCATTCCAGCACTGTACGCAGCGACGTTGTCTTGAATAGCCGCGTCCAGTCCCACCAGGCGCGCAGTGTCTATGGCCACGGAGGCTACCTGGGACTCCGGCACACCTCGCAACCTTGCGAATAACGCCAGGGTCTCTAAGCCCGTCAGCTCCTCGATGAGTCCGTCGTTCTGTGGACAGTAACCAAGGCCGGCCCGCCAGCGACTGGGTGCACCGCGGATCGCGATTTGTCCGGTCGGCGTCTTCATCAGCGCTCGGCCTCGGTCGTGTGGCACTTCGGTGGCTATCATGCGCAATAGAGTGCTCTTCCCCGAGCCGGACACTCCGAGCAGCGCCAATACCTCGCCCTCGACGAGCCCAAACGATACGCCGTTGACGGCCAGTCGCTTTCGGTACCTCTGCACGCCACATAGAGACAGGTACCATGTTCAGGCGGAATGCTTCAGGTGTCAGCTCAGTTCAGATCACTACTTATTGAGTTCAAATAATTAGTAAAATCAAATATTCACGCGACCTTCAAGAAGTCAATGAGTGCAAACGGGACCCTCAAAAACAAAGGAGGACCTCATTTTTATGTCTAGTGATAGCAAACCGCCAACTTTGCATAGGTGGGTGCCCACTAAAGCATCTATGTACCTCATTTTGCCTGGCACCATGTCGGAATTGGCCGTGTATACCTGTTTACCGGAAGAGGCCCAGTGGTAGCAATTTTCTGCCTCCTATCGCCGCGGCCTATGTTGAAGTATTTCACCGAAGGTGTACTAAGGGGCCTTTACAAAAAATTATAGGGTCACCTTTCGAAATGAATATTTATGAGCAACCAAGTGAATGGTTGCCTCTTTAAATGAAAAATGACTAAGTTTCCACTTGACATTAGGAATCGAACCCGGTACCTACACCGTGGGAAACGGAAATTCTAACATATGTAGCCATTGATGCTGTAATTATTTTTTTGCGGGGACAAGTGGTAGGTTACTTAATACAAAATTTTCTACGCCATTTATGTCGCTCTCAAAAGAGACGAAGGCGGAAAAATAGTGCCACGCAAGACATAGGGGCGAAGCTGGAGCTGCAAGTGTAAATATTCGGTGCACTTGTCTTTAGTTGAGGGCTGCTCAAACAGCAGTAAATGACTGTTGATTGCAGCAGCGGGCAACCTAAAAGTTACATGATGTGATATGAAACAATATCGAGATGGCCACTAGAGTTATCTGGAACCTGTGCGGAGGAAATTATAGGTGGCCAATGACGAAAAACGTATCGTAAAAGGTTGTTAGTTTGGAATTTTCTGAATTCGAATAACTCCTTTAAATAACAAGCTGCCGAACTGTCTAAAGTATCATAGAAACAACAAATGCCTGTTTGATCAACGCGTTTTTTTTTCCTTGACGAAACCCAAACGCCGTAATCATTTTGCATAAGAAATATTTAAAGCCGGAATTTTTGTCATTGGCGACGTCGTTCTTAATGTGAACACGGCTTACGACTCCCTTTCATCTTCTGAAACATGCTACAAATCTATAGCTTATGACTCAACAACAACGCAATCATCGATGCCGATGACGCCTTTCTGAAAGCCAGCGGCCGTAGCAGCTCTCTACGAGCGCCGCTATCGTTTCACTGCGCCGCATCCTTGAAGCGCATCGCACTTGAAGAACACCGAGGATCGCACGAATAAACCGGGCGGCGGCAACACATGACTGTATCAACGAGAATTTGATGGCAATAAACAACCATATGCTTGCCGGCACTGCTGCACTCGTACTTCTGATCTATACGATTTTCCTAATGAACGTGCGTCGAATCAGTGAGCTTACACTGTATATGTCATTGCTCGAAGAGCTGCACTAATGATGGATGAATATCCTCTGAGCGCATTTACTATTAGCGCACAAACTAGTAATAAAACGTTTCACTGTCACAATCACGAGTGGTCCACCGGCGCTAACCGTTTGAAAGGGTTTCTTACCTAGAAATGATGCAGAATTTTCTTTCATAACACCACTAGAAAGAATAAAGAAGCCCATAATTTAGCTTAACTGGTATCGACTAAAGAAGAGGGCCATGTAAATTATTCGAGAAATATACAACAGTTATGTATCGCTTACTGAGCACGATAAATCTTGTTGCTTAGGTGACGCAAGTGTGACCTTGCGTCACATAGACACATTCCTGTCGCCGCGTTTTAGACCGGGCTCCGCGGCGGTGGTCTGTAGTGGCTAAGGTACACGGCTGCTGGCCCACACGTCGCGGGATCGAATCCCGGGTGCGGCTGCTACAGTTTCGACGGAGGCGAAAATTCTGTAGGCCCGTGTGCTCAGATTTCGGTGCACGTTAAAGAAGCCCAGGTGGTCGAAATTTCCGTAGCCCTCAACTACGGCGTATCTAATAATCATGTGGTGGTTTTGGGACGTTAAATTCCACATATCAATTAAATCAACTCAACACGCCTCACCTGACCGATAGTTTATATCTACCCAGAAGCGGCGACAACGTACATTGGTAATTTTAACGCATGAGCTTTAACAAAAAGGCGCCATTGGCAGCGTAGATCCCACAAAGGTAAGGAATAAATCTCAGGGTCCCGGCAGAAATGTAACCGAAGCATTCTGCGCGGCAATCAAGTATTCTATCACAGAGCCATGCAATGTCTCGGAACTATTTTTCAAATAGGCCCGAATGTTCATGAAACGTGAATCATGGTTGTAGTGCTGGCTATACAATTTTAAACATGACGTATACGTAGTCCTATGATACAGCCGTCATGCCAGGTTAATGTCAATGGTGGCTAAGCGCTATCCGCAGAGGTTGATTTTTGTTGCAGTGTCCAGGACTGCCGTACTCGCGAGCACCAGTGATTTATATCAGCTTACCGTATCTAGTATTGCTAATATGCATGTTGCTGTTGGCATCGTTACCGGAACTGTGAACAACTGGTTATGTAAAACATACACGGTTGTTTACCTGTGTCTGTGCGTGAATTTGTAGGTGCGAGATGTACTTGTCTTGCAGTTTGTGTAGTAAGGCAGTAAGGCTCATAATGACCTTTCCAAGATATTTAACCTGCACACGAGCCTATCCTGTAAAAAATACGCTTCCGCAGCCACTACGTAAGTTTCTCGAAGATGTGGAAATAAAAGCAACTTAGTTTCAGCAGTGCGCGAGAAGGGTGTTATGATCACATTTACTCGTCAGTTAACTTTTGCTACGTCGCATAGTCTGATTCTCGACATACCAGCTTACCGGAGTTGAACCCACATATAGCGATATCGGTTTTAACAATATACCAGTTAAAACAATGAGAAGCTGCTGCACTATCAGCATTTGCATGCTTTTCTACGGTGTAGTAACCCGCTTAGCAATGTCCACAATGCTGCGTTGTTTGTTATAACAAAGAATTTGCTCTAATGTGTGTCCTTGATGAAGTACAAGGAATTACGTACAGCGCGAACTCAAGACGGGGATGTATACTAAAGAGACAAAGAGAAGCGCTGTCTCTTCTTTAGTATCCCCGTCTAGAGTTCGCACTGCACAAACTTCATTATGCAAAACCAACTAGCCCAAAGTTTCCCTCTACTAAGTTATATTTCTTGATGAAAGGTAACGGACGGTGAAAGTGAGAAGAAGAAAGGAGAAAACGAGAAATTCAAGCTGCAGAAATCCCCGCCAACAACCTCGCCAACAACCCCGCCGACCCCTAGCGCCCTTTCACATTCACGGTATACTGCACCGCATACCGGTGTGGCTTTTATTTATATGTGGGGTTTAACGTCCCGAAACCACCGTATTATTAAGAGACACGCCGTAGTGGAGGGCTTCGGAAATTTCGACCACCTGGGGTTGTTTAAGGTGCACCCAAATCCGAGCACACGGGCCTACAGCATTTTCGCCTCCACCTAAAATGCAGGCGCCGCTGCGGGGATTCGATCCCGCGACCTGTGGTTGAGCAACCGAGTATCTCAGCCACTAGACCACCACGGCGGGGCGGCGCAGTGTGGCTTGTGGCAAAGCTTTAAAATCCACTATGGCGGCGACTGACACTGCCTTCTGTTAATGCACTTTCGGGCATGCCACTTGAGTTCATAGTTCAGACTTGGAAGACCTTCAGCGTTAAACCTTCGACCGTGTGGTACATTGGTTCTGTGGGGCTTGCGGATGTCACGAGAAAGCGTCAGTATTTTCAAGCGCGTGTGAAAAATCGGCAGCTTTATCATTTTTATCCCTGATGTCTGTTGACAACTCCAATCTGGTAGTCTTGTCTTCTCACAGCAG